CCAGAACAATTCTCAGAAGCTGGGAATTTGGAATTCTAGTCAATAGCCTCAACATTAATCTCTCCTACCTGCTTCCGTGTTTCCCAGCATCCATAACTCCTTCCAGAAAGCGTGACATCGCCTCTGGGGCAGTGAGAGCTCTGATTGCGGGGACCATCGCCTGCTTCATGACAGCCTGCATCGCAGGTACTGCCTCCTCTACTTCGTGTCCTGTCTCCCTGTGCCCACAGGATGGCAGTTTTCAGGGGCTGGTGCCTTCAGCCTGCATATGCAGCATATGCTGCTGCAGAAAGCTGATAGGCAGAGCTGCTGTTAAGCATATTGTGAAGTGAAATGCATGGAGCATGGTTGGGAAGCTAGGAATAGGAGAGTTCGGTGACTTCATTAATTAAATAAATGACATTCTGCCCCACTTCCAGGCATGCTCACCAACAGTCCTGTAGACAGTGGCTGCCATCACATTTTGGAATATGCCTTCAACTCCAGCTTAGCTGGAGACACGACCAATGTAGTATCTTGTTGCCAGAGCCTCCTGAGCAGGTATTGTATTCTTGGTGATAACTTTTTTTTAATGGAGATACTGGGGATTGAACCTAGAACCTTGTGCATGCCAAGCATGTGCTCTACCCCTGAGCTATTAGCCCAATGATAACTTCTTTCTATCTATTAGTAATCGTAAAAAATAGACCTAAGACCCCACCCACTTATTTTTATAACCTCATAACCCAATTTAAGAACTTGTGTGGCATTTCTAACTGCCTTTCATCTTGACTTTCCTAAACGAAGGCTAGAACCATACTACAATGATTGTATTCATACACTAGCTCTTCAATTTACACATCTGTGTGTCCTTGAGCAAGGTACTTAACATCTCTGAGCCTGCCTGAGTCTCTTCATAGGTGAAATGAGGCTAATAACTGTATCATTCAAGATTGAAATTGATACTTCATGTAACATTTGTAGAAGAGCATTGGCATATAATAAGCTCTCATTAAATGTTATCTACTTCTAGCTTCATCTAAATTTCTGTCCATTTTTTCCAATAATGAATTGAAATTTTTAAAAAGACTAAAACCACAGCACTAACTAGTGCTACTGAAACATTTTAGTATGCTCCCCAACTACGTATTAGGCACTTTGTAGGAATTAACTCATCTCAACCGCGCAACCACTGCATAAATTAGGCACTATTGCTTTTTTAAACATTGGATAAAATCAAGGCGTAGGGAGGCCATGTCACTTACCCAAGCAAAATGAGTGCAAGCACAATCAATATAGGAAGACCCAAGAAAATTTGAGTCTTTCTGCCCACAGAGCCCATGCCCTTAACTAGCACTCTGGTACTAGGTACTAGGTACTGCCCCCCCCCTCAAGGGTATCCAGCGATGCAGGCTGTCCTGACAACATGGTGATGGTGATGAGCTACAGTGGATGAGGGGCCATCAGTGACTCACGCCGGCCACCTCCACCCTGTTTTCAAAATCAGTATCACCACTCCACCTGCCTTTCTTAATGTGCAGGTGTTTTATAAAGATTGGTTCTATCTTTTATTTGTTTACCCTAGAGGAAATATAAGGAGGGTCCTTCAGTCCAAAGAGGATTTAAGAGTCAAAACTATTTCTCTGGTGCCTCTGTCCGTAGCCCACCCTAACTGAAAAGTGAGGGAGGAAACCAGCTTCCTGCCCTGTGCTATTTCTAACGTGTCGTCTTCTGCTCATCTACTGTTTCTGTCTTCTGCGGCTCAACTAACTGTTTCATTCTACGTTTCACCAGCACCGTTGCCAAGGGTCCTGGTGAGGTCATCCCAGGAGGAAACCACAGCCTGCACTCTTTGGAGGACTGCTGCAGATTGCTGAATCCATCAACACTGAACTGCAGTTGGATCCCTAATGCATTTTGAGCTCAGCTACTTCTCCCACAGAACTTTCTGCTTTGAGGAGGGAAAAAAAAAAGCTATTTCCACAGATTGATACTTCTACCGTGGAATCAGTTTTAAATGGAAAGAAGACAAACAGCAGGGAACATTTCAGATCTACAGAACCTCCCTCCTCCCCTTCCCTCTCATCCCCAACCTCTCCACTACTGAGAATTACCCACTGTGGTGTGCCAAAGTGAGGTGCTGTCTCCAGTCCCCAGAATGTTTTCTGTCTCAGAAGGAAATTCTGGAAACAATGGTGAGATGCCTTTTAATGAAATGCTCATCACCAGTGCTCTTAATGGCATAAAGACTACACTGTATAAGAAAACAGAAGCACTGATGACTGGATTAAAAGGGGATTCACATAAAAGAAAGAATATGAAAAAGGTTTTGGAATACCTTAAGTAATTTATTTGTGCTTTCACTTTTGCTCATGCAAGAGAGTAATTTTTTTTTAATCCATGTGTAGTTGATTTTGTGTTTGTGTGTGTGTGTGTGTGTCTCTGTGTGTGTGTGTCTGTGTCTGTGTGGTGGTGGTGGTGAAGTAGGGTCCTAAATGCCCAAAGAACCCCTTATCTCTGAAGTACAATATACTCGGATATTTCTAATTATTGATCACTTGTATCATATTTTTCTGGGAACTTAATGTGCCCTTTCAGTACTTAGACTTGATCTTAGAGAAATGTATTTACATGTCTTTTTCTTCTGTTCTCTATGTTCTGATGTGAGCCTTCATAAAAGCCTATGGCATAGTGTATGCCGTTTGATCAAAATATAATGCAAGTTGCATGTAATTTAACATTTTTTAGTAGCCACATCGAAAAGGTAAAAGAAACTGGTAAAATTAATTTTAACAATATATTATTATATTAGTAAGATATTAATTCGATGACATATTTTACATTATTTTTATTGAATTAAGTCTTTAAAAAATCTAGTGTATATTTTATACTTAGAGCATATTGTGAGACACTAAATTTTCATTGGCAATACTTGATCTGTAATTAGATCTCATAAAATTTACAGTTGAAAAGTAAACTTAAATCCCCAAGTTGTTCCAAATAACATCCAAAAGTTTCCAATAACTGAAATGAGTATGTTTTCAAATTAAAATTTTAGTTCCTCAGTTCCACACATGAAATAGTTCCATATATCAAATATCTGTGACTAATATAATGGACAGTGAAATTCTACAGGATGATTTCCTAGGTGAATTGAAGTGTGTGTATATATCTGGTATTAATGTATGTTACCAGATTACTTCTTGGAGAAATACATTGTCTAATTTTCATTCGCTTTGCAGTGTAATTTTTCAGATGTGTTTTATTCATCTATGTCTGGGTGTATGTGTGATATTTCTTTTTAAATACTACATGTTCACCTAAGTCCTGTGATTTCTTTTTGAATGTTGTCTGTCCTTGAACTGAGGAGGGTGGTGTTGTTTCTGAGCCGTATTAGAAGAAAGGGCAGTAAGGGTAAGGATCAGGCGAATGAGCTGGTGAGCACTTGAGGCTTGTTGCCTTCAGAAAACTCACCAGTCCCCTGTGAATGTTGTGAGTGGCTCTGGGCTGGTTGGAAGTTTCCCTCTTCCCAGTGAAACCAGTCGATGGAGGTTTTTTGGGGATGGTGATGTCTTCGCTCTTCTTTGGCAGACGTAGAAGCTGGAGGGCTCTTCGTTCCTTACAGTTTGTCCTCCACACCTCCCATGGTCTTCGGTGATGGCGAAGATGGAATGTCAGGGTGTTTTCTAGGTGTTCGCTCAGTTGTCACCTGAGGTCACTGCTGCTGTCAGACTATGCGCCCTTACCTCGTTTCAAGCCAAGGCTGTGAAATCTACTTCAAACAATTCTGCAGTCTCTCTAGTTTGCCCACGAAATTTGAAGTCCCTAGCCTCCTCTCTGAGTCTGTCTTCACACTGGCGCAGTTTACACGTATCTGAAAGCCCTGTTTCAAAGACAGTATTACAGGTCCAGGTATGAATGTTTCCTAATTTCAGTAAAGATGGAAGTTTGCCTTCCTGCTTCTTGGTCTCCTTGTTCTATTCCATTGGTTTGCAAAAAGGGAGAGGAGGGAAGAAATGGCATTTCTCACTTCAACCCAAAAGCTATGGTTATGAAAACAAGTTCTCTGATCCTGCAGAAGCCTTAGGGTCTCAGCCAAGAATAGATTGGAATCATGGACTATGGAAAATTTTCTTTGATTTTCCTTTCCATTGGTAAAAGCAGCATAACCAAGCAGTTAGGTCTGAGTGAGAAGGTCTCTGTAAATACACAGATTATCAACATGCATTCATTTTGCAAATACTCCCACCTCATTGCTTTTATATTTCTGTAGTTCAGTTAGGCTGGTAAGCCACTGTGAAGAGCTTAAGACGTGCACCTACCCAGTGAGGCTGATGTCCAATTACAGAACAATTCCAAAATCAGGCATGTTTATAAAGGAGATATTGAAGGACGCAGTGTGCCAGGAAGGATTAAACTACCCTGAGTGTACTGGAGCAGGGAAAGCGGAGGCGACCATTCACATTTTAAACAGGCAGGAGCACAGGACTTAAGGAAGAAATGCATGGTACAGGTGCACCATATGGCACCAATGAACCATCTGGTCTTAAGAAAGCTCCCTTTTTACAACCTGTTACTTAATAAAAAAAACAACTCTGTTTTAAGCTAAAGTAGGTAGAGAAGTGTACACTTACCCATCCTTTTTCCGGATCTAAAGACAACACAAGCTTACGATGATGATTCTGTTTTCCTTTATGTTACAAAGGCAATGGGACCGCCCCGGGATGCAGGAGGAGTAATTTCTATGCTGGTCATTGGTGGACTATTTGCATTTTTATTTCAAGTGACTCTAGAAAGTAAACAATGGATCTGTGCCAAGCCAGCTCCTCTTACTCACTATGCCTTTTGCAAAATGGAAAGATACCGACTGATAGAAGGGATACTGCCTATGGACATGGAACAGGGAAAGGCACACAAATGACAGTCTTGAAATTGAGTCCCCTGGCAACTGACAGCCAACCACTTTAGCATGAGATAACCGAGATCAGGAAAATATCTGATCTCTCATTAAGTCGTGTTTACATGTAGAATCAGCCCCATATCTGCCACGTCCTGGGCATGCTTTCAGTCATATTCATAAAATCAGAGGACTGTAGAATCCTAGGGCACTCAGAAACGCTTCATCTCCTTCCACTCCCACTACTGTCAACTCACTGAAAGCCACCAAATCTATATATTGCTATGGCCAAAAGGACAGTTGGGGGCAACACTCCCTGGTCTAAGTTCCTTTGACTGAAGAGCACCTACTTCATTGCATAATTCTTTCTGCTTATATGAGCAATTGTTCTGCTATCACATTTGGAAAAGCTCTTAGAGGAAAGGGGAAACGGCAAGCTGGTTGTCACCGCTGGCCCGTATGAAACACGGTTCAACCGCTAAGAGTCCATCTCTGGACCTGAACTGTCAGTGTTCGAATCCCGGCCCCAGACACTAGCTCCATTACCTTCGGTGTCTATGTAATTGCTCTGTGCCTCGGTTTCCCCATCAGTAAAATGCAAATGAACATCTCCTCCCTTAGATTTTTGTGAGAATGAAGTAAGTTAAATCATGTAAAGCACTTAGAAATATGCCTTGCTGAGAAAAGCTATCCAATACACTTTTTTTTCATTGAGGTATAATTTATACACAAAAAATGCACAGGTTTTAAGTGTAAATTTTGTTGAGTTTTGACAAATGCATGTGACCCATGTGACTATCAGCCCAGTCCAGATGGAGCACAATTGCATCATTTCAGAAAGCTCCCTGGCACCCCTCCCCAGTCATGCTCACCCCCACGCTCCCATACTCCCAGGGAAGCTCCATTGACTTTTCTTCCCCCCAGAGATTAGTTCTGATAAACGATTCAGCTAGAACTTCACACAGCACATTCTCTTTGTCTCTTGCTTTCTCCCTTCAGCATAATGAATTTCAGTTTTACCCAGTAGTTCATTCTGTTCTCATTGCCATTATTCCATTGTACGACCACACCACCACTTATGTATCCCTTCTACTCTTGATTGACATGTGAATGTTTCTTAGTTTTTGTAGAATATTTGTTTTTAAGAAACATTTCTACTTTCCACACATTCTTTAGGGGTTTCAGAATATTTTAAGCTTCGGAAATATAAATTGGAATGTGAAGGAGGCATGGTTTACCCACACGGGGGTTTGCGCTTTCTCTTCCCCATAATCTTGCTGAATCTTTTTATTTATATGTTGTTCTTCACAGGGATTTTCAAGATTGTTGGCTCCAGGCCACAAACTGGAAGGCCAGTGATGACTGGGGCTCAGGAGGGAATAACAGAGAGGCTGGAGCACCATGAGGTCACTCTTCGTTGAATAGAATGGTGATTAGCCTGTTCCTACACACTGTATAATGGCTTTTTCACTGTATGCATTCTGAGAAAAATCACTTCCCCTTTCTAAGTCTCTAATAAAAGAGTTACATTAACGTTCGACATCATAGAACTGCAGCGCAAGAACATGAATTTAAAATATATGAGAAATGAAAAAAAACACTTAGTTTAAAAGTATTGTAGGAAAGCCTGATGCATATTCAAGGTGAGCTCTGATCACACCGTAACAGATTTTGGCTGCAGCAGCTTGCAAGGTAGGGAAGCACGCATCAGCTAAAACTTTGTGACTTAGGAGCCATGAGCAACTTAATCCCACTTATGGGAAAGGTTGGCCATTCTTAAAAGCACTTGTGCAAAACAAAGACTCTAATTCTCATTAGAATTCACCCCTCAAAATTCAACCTGCCCTTTCTGTGACAGACATCTCAAACAGCTGAAAATTTATTTGCTCTCTTTGACCATCCATTCATCAACGTCTGGCCAAGGAAAGCAGGTTCCCCAGAAAGGGAGGGTTTCCATGCCTACTTAAACCAAAAGGAACCAAACTGAAGGAAACAGTATGTTCCTGGGGGCTCAGGAGAGGTCTTTCTGTAGCAGTCTGACTTGAGTGTTGTTTCCATGGCAACAGACTCCGGCATTCTCAAACAAGGGCCAAGTGCTCACAGGAGGCTGCAGCTGGATGCTCAAGAAAGTTTTTTCTTAAAAACTACTGAAGTATTCAGAAAGAATT